GTAATTAGACTCACCAGAGTTGTATGCCATAATTCATGCATTCTCTTATATGTGATTGTGAATTCACTGTGTCCAAGAGTACAGGCCAATTTCTTTTTTGCTTGATGAATTTTGAAAAAATTATGGTTTTTTGCCATATTTCTAATACTTCATTCTGATATTGTGTGCAATATTTGGTCAGATACCACCCTGTTTACTGATCAGCTCTGTTTACTTCAGGGTCTAGTTCTGGAAATTGATGAAGATATAGCTCCTGATGATGATGACAGGGAGGCCTTGCAGGAAATAGTCAACAATGTTAAGCTAAGCGAGGGATATCTTGCGCTTGCTCGGGACATTGAGGTTATGGAACCTAAATCTCCAGAAGACATCTATAAGGTGCTGGTTCTTATACAATTATCTAAACTGCAGTACGCCTTATTTCTTCTCAGATAATATTGGGTATTAATCCAAGTTTGTAAGATGTTTTTTTTTTGTTGTTTCCCCTAATTAGATTGGCATCTGTTTTGATTATCTCATCATGTCAATTTTTTTTCTGATGATAAAGGAATTTTGTTACCGAAGAGATGATTCTTGTTTTTCTTAGGAAGTACTCTCTAATATCCGTAGAAAGTTCTTTCCATGACTTCTTATTGTCCTTCAGTAGAAAATCATGGTTCTTGTAATTTTTTGTTTGTAAATAGAAATATTCACATGTATTTGCTTGATTTTTTTTGGTCCTCTGATTTACACATTGTTTTTTTACTTAGGTGCACTTGATTGATGGCCGGGCAAGTGCAAGTTCTAGTCTCGATTCAGCAAGACAGAACTTGGCAGCTACCTTTGTTAATGCATTTGTAAATGCCGGATTTGGACAGGTAAATGAAAGAATTTTTTAAGAAATTTCTTGTGGTAAAATCTTCTATAAGTTGTTTATACTTGGATATTTCTTATTATTCTCAGGATAAATTGATGACTGTCACATCAGAATCCTCCAGTGGATCTTCAGGTAATTGGCTATTCAAGAACAAGGAACATGGAAAGGCCAGTGCAGCAGCAAGCTTGGTATTGTTATTCCCATATGTTTTATTTGATATAAATAAATAGTGGTATATTAGAATGTGATTATGCTCTTCTTTGTTATAGGGGATGATTCTGTTGTGGGATGTTGACTCCGGACTTTCACAAATTGATAAATATTTGCATAGTAATGATAACCATGTGGTCGCTGGTGCTCTGTTAGGTATTGGTATTGTTAGCTGTGGTGTGAAGAATGACTGTGACCCTGTAAGTTGTATCTCATTTAAGATTAATAAGATAGCCAGTGACATCCTCTGCTAATTTTCATATTTTCTTGAATTCATTAGACTATTACTATGTAGATATGAGATTATGTGGTATGGTTCTTCTTGCAGGCATTGGCACTTCTAATTGACTATATTAACAAAGATGACACCATCATCCGCATTGGTGCCATACTGGGCCTTGGAATTGCATATGCTGGATCTCTAAAGGATGAGGTGGAGATCCAGGAGCTATTTGTCTGCTTTTAACTGCTAACCATGTTCTTAATTACATTCTGACATAATAATGTTGTGCCAGCTTAGAATTCGCCTATCACTTATCTTGGGAGATCCAAAAACACCTCTTGAAGTTCTTGTCTTTTCTGCTATCACCCTGGGGCTCGTATATGTTGGTTCTTGTAATGAAGAGATTGCTCAGTCCATCATTTTGGCATTGATGGAACGTTCTGACACTGAACTAGGGGAACCTCTGACTCGCCTGCTTCCTGTAGCTCTTGGACTTCTGTATCTTGGAAAGCAGGTAATTTGAAAAAAAAAAATCAAAATTGCTTTCCAGGCTTTTTATTAGTTTTCTGTTGTTGATAATTAATCTTCTCTACCATCACTTTATGGTGTTTCAGTGGATAATTGTGTTATATAGCTTCATTATTCTACTGTAAGTAGTATGTAGGATGGATGTCTCTGATCAGTTCAGGTGAGGGGCATCTTGTTTGATCGACTCAACTCCCTTTTTTGCTTTTGTCAAGAAATTTACTTATCTACGTTATCATTGTAGATATAGATGTACTTGTTTGGTTTGCTTCAAGGATGCCAGAAATTTGATACTGCAATTATTGGCACTTGTTCAGCTCCTGGGTAGAAGTATTAAAGGCTTGATCCTTTAGTTGCTATCTTTTAGAAGATTGGCTTAGAACTTCTCCAGTGGCTTGAAGTTAAAATAAAAAAAAAGTTTGCCCAACAGATGGAGTTTGGTCTTGCAGAATTTGGATAACGATTTCAAGTTAAAATGATATATGTTTTTCCCTATTCTTGTTGAATTCAGATGTTGATGAATTGATATTATATCATTTGTGTAGGAGTTTAGTTTTTCTTATGTACTCCTGGAATTTTGGTCTAACAGGATAATGTTGAGGCTACTGCAGAGGTTTCAAAAACATTTAATGACAAAATCAGGAAATATGCTGATATCACTCTACTGTCTTTGGCATATGCTGGAACCGGGAATGTTCTGAAGGTGTCTATTTGTAACTTGTGCATTGTCCCTTCTAATTTAGGTGTGAAATGATTAAAACACTTTTGTTCTGCAGGTCCAGAAGCTTCTGGGGTACTGCGCTCAGCATCTTGAGAAGGGTGAGAACTATCAGGGACCCGCTGTCCTTGGGATTGCACTTATTGCAATGGCTGAGGAATTGGGCCTTGATATGGCGATTCGATCATTGGAGCACCTTTTGCAGTATGGAGAGCAGAACATTAGACGAGCAGTGCCCCTGGCTCTTGGTATCCTTTGTATTTCTAATCCAAAGGTACACTTATCCCTATTACCTAGGATTACTGTGCTTGACAGTTACATACAGTATTTTGTTTGTTAATTAAATGCATAAGGGAGCAACTTATAGGGAAAAGTTAACAATCTTGCTAGTTCCAAGTTTTAATCAGGATAATGAAATTCCCTACAGCAGTCAGTTCCAAGTTGCTGAAGATGGTGCTATATTGATTGTTGACCTGTATATGGTTATATGTAGTAGGAAAAATCTACAGCTTAAAAGAAAAATCTAATTCAGCTGTTTTCTTGAACTCAAAATGTTGCTCTCCTCATCTTTGATCAGGTCAATGTCATGGATACACTTAGCAGACTGAGTCATGATACTGATGGTGATGTATCAATGGTATGCCCACCTTAAATCTCTCTCTCTCTC